TTCGAAAGCACGTAAAAAATGCAAGTAGAAAAATAGGAACTACCTTGGGTGGGAAGGTAACAGCGTTCCGTGCGCCTTAGGCGTTCGAGTCATGCCGGCCACATGACCACGGAGACGTCTTCAGACAATGCTGGATCTTCAGCTTTGAAACAGATTAGCACCACCCCTAGAGTCAGGAACGACTAGCACATATGTGCGAGGGGAACCTTTACCTTATACTAAGACCAATAATAGTCATACTATTTGTTTAACCAATTTAACACATCTTCATTGAATTTGCTGACAATGGTTAATGGTTTTGACTGGTTTAACAACTGCAGTGGTTCGCTTAAACAACCACAGCAAGAAAAGTCGTAAAAATGGAGCAAATTCACTGAACAAACATTTCACTTAGCAACAGAAATTTTGGGCTCGATTGTGGTCATAAGTCGAGGACTACCTGTACAATGTTTCAAATCATCCGAGTTGCAGCCTGATTTTGTTTTGGACAAGGGGAGAAAAAGGGCTCCTGTGACTCCTAAGAGAAAAAAAACATATTAAGTTTTAGGGGCCTGGCTAGTCCTTCCACACTGATGCAAAAGTAGTTTGCATGTTTCTTAATCAAAACGTGCTTAGTACTTTTATCAGCATCACACAGTTTTTTGCATTAGTTCTTAGTGGCAAGCATCATATGCTTAAAGTAGTTCTAACTTTCTTATGCTATAATGGGAGGAAAATAACACAGCTGCTTTTTCTGTAAGGACCTGTATCATTCTTGAAAAAAAATCTCCTTCCAGGGATGTTTTCTGGTGGTTTTTTAGATGAACTTTCAGAGGTTGAACTAAGTTGGAGGGAGTCCCAGAAAATCAGTAATAATGGGGAAAATATGTTTCTATTCTAGGAATATTTGTCAGATAAGCTGTTTTCCTCTAGAAATCATGCACATGCCTAAATTCATGGTGGAGTATCAAATTTTCCACTTAAAGATAAAATATGTTTGCATGAACTTTTTTTCCTGCATAAAATCTATTTGTGCTGTGTTTTCTGTAAATAATCAGATTAAGGAGCACCATTTTGCCATTTATGAGGAAAGCAAGGTAGTCCATGTTGCATTTTATTTTCCCTATGTTGATGCCAAAAATGGAATTTTGAACAATCATCAATAACTTTTGAGATTTCATTGTAATTAATGGATATGGGGTAAAAGAAGCATTCCCTTTTGGAAAAAGAAAATAGAATTGGGCTCTTGTTCAGGACTTATTGCAAAGGGCACAGCTGTCCAAAAGCAAGTTGGCATCTTGTTTGTGGACCCAATTAAAAATTAATAGCAGTTGAGGCAACAAATGGGAGAAGTAGATGATCGCCCTAGTGGATGATTATTTAAATATGAGCCAATAGTGTGCGGCGGTAGCCAAAAAAGCTTAATACAATCCTTGGTTGTATAAACAGAGGCATAGAATCAAAATCATGTGAAGTATTAATACCTCTCTCTAAAACCTTAGTAAGACCACACCTGAAATACTGCATTCAGTTTTGGTTACCATATTACAAAAAAGATGTTGAGACTTTGGAAAAAGCAAAGAAGAGCAATTTAGGTGATTAAATGCCTGGAGACTAAAACATATGAAGAATGGTTGCAGGAATTGGGTTTAGCTAGTCTAGAGAAGAGAAGGACTAGAAAGAACACGATAGCAATATTCCAGTATTTGAGGGGCTGCCACAAAGAGGGGTGGGGTGTCAACTTATTTTCCAAAGTGCCATAAGGAAAGGCATTTGTTTGAGATGCAGAAGGAATTACTATCCGTATTTCTTCAGAGATCAGGCTCCCAACCTATTGAGCACCAGGGAGAGAGGTTTTTCCACAGACTGGAGGGGGCATGGTTTCATGTGCTTGTTTGCGCATGCAGCGGCCCGGTGCCAGTCCACAGATCGGGGGTTGGGGACCCCTGATTTAGGATACAACCAAATGGCCATATTAAAATATCCATGAACTGGCAGGAAAGTGCTAAAGCCTACTACGTCTTAGTGATGAAACCAAAAAAAGGGCGCTGACCTTCCTGTTTTAATGCAAAACAAGGTCAAGAAAATGGCCCATGGTTTTCTCAGGCATCATCTTTCCTCTTATTACATGTTTCCTGCATCAAGCATCCCACTTAACAACTCTGGGCTCGGAAGTGCTGCATACCTGTGACCTCGCAGCCAAGCTATTTCTCAGCAGGGCTCTAGTGCTTTTCTAAAAGAGTGTTAAACCTCTGCTAAACCTTCTCCCATTTGTTGTCATGAGGTCTAACTTTCTTGGTGTTACTTTCCCACCGTCTCTTGCATTCTTTTTGGCAGAAGCCGTGGAAACCCTGTATGGATATGATGGTGACAGGACCACCCATAGACAGCTGACAGAGCCATAATTTGGACGGTTTAAATCAATTTTCCATGCAGCACAAAATTAGCACTATCTCAATACCCATCTCTTACCATATAGATTTAGCCTCTTTCAAAGGAGTATTCAGTTTGTGTTCACAAGAAACCCATGGCGGTCCTATAAGCATCATGGAAAGATGGAAAGAATCAGTCAGACTTTACTCAGACAATGCCCAATTTAAGCTCTGTGCCCACAGCTTAAAATGTGCAAGAGAAACTCTGCAGACCTCATCCCTGACTGTGTTAATGAAGCATGTTAGGTCATGTCCATAGCAAAATAAAAACAACTTAGTCCATAGACAAAACATTGTTTGGGACACATAACAATGGCTTGAAGCTGCCTCAGCTGTCAGACTTGAGATGAAGATAAGGTCATGATATCAAATTTGAAAAAAAAAAGTGATGTGTTTGCTGTTTAGCTCTGTGCCTGCAGAGTTGTGTTCTGTTGTCTTAGGTTGGAACTGGCTGTGGGCTAAGGAAGAAGAAGAGTTGGATTGTGATTGTGAAATGTTCCATTTTGTATGCCTTTGAAAGAATAATGACAAAGCTTGGCCCTGTAGATCAATGAAAATGTTTTCTTTAATGGGCGGCTCCTCTGATGTGGTTCAGAGCTTCGGCATTAAAGTCAAATAAATACAATATATATTTGGTTCTCAAGGATGGAGAGCCATTACCTCCCCCCCCAATAGGATACACATGAAGTGTCAGCCTTCTCCATGCAATTTGTTGTCTGTGTGTGTGTGTGTGTGTGTGTGTGTTGCACAGGTATTTGGCTTCTTCACTGGTCTAGAGTTAAAGGGAAAAGACTGCTGTGATGCTTCTTGAAACAGCATGGGAAAAGGTTGGGTACTCTGCATGCATTCACACATGCTCTGAAGGACCTTTTTCCCTGAAATGCTGCACAGGAGTTGTTTTTATTGCCTGGTTGGTGTATTACAGTGGTGGGTTTCCAATTTCTTTGCTATCAGTTCGCTTGCGCGCAACATTTCTGTGCATGTGCAGAAGCGTCTGGGTGGGTGGGTGGGTGGAGTCTCCCGCTGCTACTACTACCAGTTTGCCTGATCCGGGCAACCCACCTCTGGTGTATTAATTCACAAGCAACGGTATAGCAGAGGGGCTACAGTACAATATTTTTGTTAGACTGGCGAGACCTGGTTTCAGTTTTCCACTGGATAAATGTGAACCAGCAATTTAGTGTGCCATCTGTATGGGGTATGTTCAACCTGGCTAGGAGAGGGTTCCTGATTCAAGCATTATGTTCACCCTGTTCCATATCTGGAGGGATTTACTTAACAGAGTAACAGTTGGAAGGGGCCTTGGAGGTCTTCTAGTCCAACTCCCTGCTCAAGCAGGAAACCCTTACCATTTCAGACAAATGGTTGTCCAGTCTCTTCTTAAAAATTTCCGGTGTTGGAGCATTCACAACTTCTGGAGGCAAGCCCACTGGTTGATTTTTCTCACTGTCAGGAAATTTCTCCTTTTTTCTAGGTTGATTCTCTCCTTCATTAGTTTCCACCCATTGCTTCTTGTCCTACCCTGAGGTGCTTTGGAGAATAGCCTGACTCCCTTTACTTTGTGGCAACCCTTGAGATATTGGAAGAGTGCTATCATGTCTCCCCTAATCCTTCTTTTCATTAAACTAGACAGACCCAGTTCCAGCAAAAGTAAATCTGATAAGCTCATCAGATTTCAGTGTGTCTTATTCAAAGCATCATTCATTATATTTCTTGTAAATTTTGGAAGACTTAATTTGTTTGGGTGTGGTAGCAAAAACAGTTGGGCCGAGAGACTAACAAATCTATTGTTGAGGCATTTGATGACATGGACTTTGTTTGGGGAAAATGCTGTTTCTGAGTTCTCAAGAAAAGTTGCTTGTTATAAATACTAGCTCTTAATGGGGTTATTCATATGGAAGCAGGCAAATGTTGTACTTGAAGTTGTGTGGACTTCAACTCCTAGAATTCCCCACCCAGCATTTTTCATGGTGGTTGTTAAATGAATCATGTGGTTGTTAAGCAAACTCTGATTGTTAAATGAACCCATTCTTCCACATAGACATTTTTTTTTTTGCTGGAAACTGGCAAAAATATTATAAACCAGCAGTGCTCAACCTGAGATGCTCAAGTCATTTCTTCCTAATAACTCACATCTAATAAGATCAGAACCTTGATTTTTTAATGTGTTTATTAAAACAAGTTACACTTTTTCACTCCTCCAAATGCTTTCTCTTCCATAAGTCAAGGGTTGTACCTGCTTATGAAACTTAAGGGTAAACCCATAAAATTGAATTTCCTCAAAAATCTCTTGCTTTCATGGTGGTATCGCGTTCCATTTTTGATGATCTTTTCATATGTGAAATTTACATACAAACCAATCGTTTGGGACAAGAGCCTGGTTTTTATTTTGATCACTTTTGGACTAGACTTCAATTTGCAGACTTGACAACAAATTACATAGAGAAGGGAAAATAAGAGCAATAAATCTGAGTTTTCCAGTTTTCCTTCGGAGAGTGATAGAAATAGGGCAAACTATAGGATATGTTTTGCTGAATATTTGGGATAACACTCGTGTAACCTAAAGTCTTTCAGTAATCTTGCTTATATTCTTTAGATTGCTGTAAGAGCAGATGTTCTCAAGCTATTTTTCTCAACATATATTGTTGAAATTTAAAAAAAAAGGACTGATATTGAAAATCTGGCCTTGACAGTATTGATCTCAGAAAGATTGGATCTGACTTGTCCGTAACTTGAATGCTAGGGGTTCTTTGGAATAACAACCCACCACCGTTTTGTATGTAGAACAAATGAATTGAAACGTTTTGGAAAGTTCTAAAACGTCCCCAAAATGTTCTGCTTTCATATTACATGATTTGTATTTGGGAGCATCACATTGACTTATGCTGCATAAGCTAAAATGTTCTCCAGGCAGGGAGTTCTTGATGGTCTCTGAGCTTGGTTGTTTGCTTGCAGATGTTTCGGTACCCAATTTGGTAACAGCACCACTCAGAGCGAGTGTGGGATTTGCTGCCTGTTTTCAAATGCCGAGTCATTTGTCCTTCCATACCTTGGTGGAGGTATAGTTATCTCGTGGTGTTTCCTTGATTAGGGTGTTATTATCTGCCTGATTGTTTGGTGTTGATCCCTCCTTATCTGGGTATTGGTAGCTGGAAGGCATGCTTTGAGTTTGTTTTTTGTTTTTTTTGTTCCCTTCCAAGTTTGTTTAATTGACTCTTTTGACTTGTAGCTGTATAGTTTATCTCTATCTTCTTTATTTGCCTGAATGCTGAGCTTTCAGGAATCCCTTAACTGTTCTTTTATGGATTTAGCTTGCTCTAGGGTACCGACAGTGTACTGATAATGGCTGTCTGTGTTGTGAAATTAAGGAGTTTTCTTTGGGTCTTCTGGCTTCTAAGTTGGTATTCATGGATGTGCTCTCTAGTCTTCTGCTTGTCTTATTTTACATAGGTAGACCTGGATATCTTTGAGACAGCCTGCTCCCAGTGGCTCTCCAGCCACCCACTTAGACCAGGAAGAGCAAGATTGTTCAGGATTCTCTCTCGCACCCACCCCCAGAAGTGGGTGGAAATGTCTGTGCGTCTTATGGAGCGAATATTGCATCACAGACCGTGAAGTGTATTACCTCAGGGGTCCCCAACGATGAACCGGTTCTGGTCCTTTTTGTGAATAGCAGCCAGGCCGCCGCGGCAGGGTCCTTTTACCGGAACCCCACCTCTTCTGTCTTTGTCATTGCCTGCCTCGTCTGTCTTTTCTGCAGTGCAGGAGTCAAAAGGCAGAGCTGACACATGAGAGGACACCTATCTGGTCCTCTCAGGATCCACCTGATTTTTTATTTATTTTTTCCTCCTCTAAACCTAGGTGCGTCTTGTGCTCAAGTGCATCTTACAGTGTGAAAAATACGGTAATCTACCAGATTCTGGGAAACGGGCTTTCTTGATTGTTAGAGCAGCATTCCCCAAAGCATCAAACCCAGCTGTTTTCATAGGCCTTGGAGATGATCTTAGTCCTCTTGTGTAAGAATATATGTGCATATGAGTTTATGGCTCCTCAGCATTAGAATAGTTTATTATTGTTAGTTATTTTAATCTTCTTTTTACATAGTAAATTGCTTGGTATTGATGATTTAAATGGCATATAACTTAATATACTATAAATATTACTCCCAGTGGCTCAAGGAAACACTCATATCTAGGTGATTAAGTAATGCAAAAGCCATACAAAAGAAGATTGTCATTTGGGCCACAGATAAGAGACATAGGAAGCATATGTGAGATAGAGTCGTGGATGATGTATTTGAGGAACTATCTATGGTTGACTATAATTAAAGAAGAGTTGACATACTGAGAAGAATTGATGTATTCAGATTACTGTATGCTAACCCACAACAAAGTCTGCTTGCTTTTAGCCTAGTGTGATGTGCAGAAGGAATCGCTGAATGAACCAAAGTGTAAAACCATAATTGGCTGATAGTTAAAATTAGATTCACACATCACTTTTTTTTAAATCCATAGAATTTTGAACAAGTCCTGGTGACATGACATTATGTCATTCACCAAGGCTTGTGCCCTAAAATTTCTAGAATTACGTATCACTCTAGGCTGTAAGCAAATAAACCTCTTGCTGAGAATAGCCCATATCTTAATATGCTGTGCGAATGCAGATTTAACTATTCTGAAGTTTTCTCACCTGAACAGTAATGAGCAGAAAGTCCACATGCATTCGGTCTGCATGGAGTTTCTCTTTTTTGAGAGATGTTTCCCTCTAAATCTGTCTTATCCTGTTTTAAGACCTTTTTAAAAGATGGTTAACTCTGTGTTAAGTGAGGCATACTGTGTTACAAATGGTGCTGGAACACTGCTAAATGAATTACACCTTGACACTGTGATCGTCCTTGGTGTCAAGTCAACTAAATCATATTGGGGGGAGGGGGGTTATTTGCAGACTTTTTGTAGTGCAAGAGTGAAACGTGTAAGTTACAGTGTTTTTAGATGAATGTTCATCTGGAAAGATTAATATTCAAAATTAAAACTTACTGATGATTAGAGGTATTTTAAATGACTGAAATCTTCATATCATGCTTGACTACATAACGTGTTTCTCTTTCTCCAAAGCATCTCCACTGTTGCTTTACGCAAATCGGCGTGATCTCCGGCTGGTGGATGCTGCGGATGTGACCGAGAATGCTACGATTGTGGTGGGTGGCTTGGAAGATGCTGCTGCGCTGGACTTCGTCTTCATGCACGGTTTGATATACTGGAGCGACGTCAGCGAAGAAGCCATTAAATGCACAGAATTCAATCAATCCGGAAGTGTGCAAAACATTGTCATTTCTGGGCTCTTGTCACCTGATGGGCTAGCTTGTGATTGGCTGGGTGAAAAACTGTACTGGACGGATTCTGAAACGAACCGGATCGAAGTTTCCAATTTGGATGGATCTTTGCGAAAGGTTTTATTCTGGCAAGAATTGGATCAACCCAGAGCGATTGCATTAGATCCTGTAAGAGGGTAGGTCCATTTCTTTATGGGTTAGAGACTTCTGAGCAAAGAGGGTATGTCCAAACTGATGCTCTGCTGCATCATTGTTTCAAAACTTTAATTAAGGCATAATAAAGGCTGTCTTCCCAGGAAATCTTACTTGTATACCATGAAGGTTTTGGCTAGGCTGGGAAGTTGAAGGAAGGTACTAGAAGGAAGTGGTGGCAACCCATTTCCATGTGTGATTCAGACTTGAGGGGGGAACTTTATTTTTATGAAATATGCTTTAAGAAAAAATCTTAATTTTCCAGCTGCAAAATCTCCATTCCCACCCCACTCTGGAGCCAACCAGAGGTGGTATTTGCCGGTTCTCCAAACTACTCAAAATTTCCGCTACTGGTTCTCCAGAACCTGTCAGAACCTGTTGGATTTCACCCCTGCCATAAGCCTTTCGAAGAGACAAGGCACCTAAGATGCTCCTTAAAACCTTTGGTACGGGGAAATTGGCCTTTGAAAGGCTTGATGCACCTATGCTAACCCCTTTAAAGCAGGCAGAGCTTTTGGGCTTCTACTTGGGGGGCGGGGGGGGGAGCTCTTAAAATGGCCGTGAAGTGGTCACAGGTATGTTATAACTTTTTGTTTATCCTTGTATGTGGAATGACCTTGAAAGTTGACCAACGTGTGTCAACTACCTGTTCTCCATAACCTATCCCAGATGTCAAATGTCTTTGTGAGAGTGTGGATTTCTTTGCCAAGAATGATCAAAAGACAAGTATTCTGTAACAGTCCTCTTCATCTTTTTAAAAGACATACCAGATATACTATGTACTCTGTGAAGAGGTGCCTCCTTTTTTTTGAGAGAGAGATGAACATTTTTGATTGCAAATACATTGTTTTGCTTCACGGCAAGGTTAGCTGTTCTCATGGTTTTAATCATAAAACCTAGTGTGGGCTATAGGATGTAAAGTCTTCCTTGAAAATGATCATTTAAGTGTTGCCCAACAGCTCATTAGTAACATATTCTCAGCTTTCCCCAATTTCTTCTCAGTACATCTTCACCTTGTCGTCACTTTGACACTGAAAAGTCTTGGCAGGTGAAATGTCAAGCTAATTAAATTCAAATGTATTTTGTGGTTTTTTTAAAAAAAAAATTTTTTGTGAGTTTGAAAGTTGAATCATAATATAATCTGCTAACTACATATGTCAGAATTATTATCTAAAGCTCTCGCTTTTCGAGCAGTTTCCCTAGGCATATGTAACTCAGAGTAAACACAAAGAACAATGAGAAATTCTCTCACTGAATTTCATTTCAGTTTTGCAGGAGTTGATGTGGGTAGTGCATCGATGTGTTGTAAGTCACCTTTGCTTCTGAATTAGAATCCACATGATCATTCTCGGAAATTTAACAATATGTGCAAAACTCAATTATTTCCTGAAGAAATGCCTAAGTGGCACACTAAATTGCCACCTCGCTGGATAGCCTTTGACAGGAGATTGTTAAGAGTATCTGTTCTTTATTCCAATTGTGCATAAAATGAGAGTTGTTTTTTTTTCATGGAAAAAAAGACATGCTGAATAGAATTCTGGTTGCCTCACGTGAAAAAGCATGTCATAGAGAAAGAAAACAAAAGTGTATAAAACATCCCCCAAGCATGATCAAAACGAATAAAAAATGAGCAAAGGGTTAAAGTTACACAAAAGCGTTGAAATCAATTTAGCTCAGATATATTTACAGTAAAAATAACTTTTTGCAGCTGTAGAAACATAATCCTATAAACTCTGCTACTAAGAGTTAGCAGCCAAGGAGCCCACTCGTCGTCACAGTTTGTCAATTCTCACTCTCTGCACACTCTCGGGGAGGCAGGGAATGTTGCAGGTCCCATCCCTGAGAGAGATACACCTGGTGGGACCCAGAAGAAGGGCCTTCTGTGTGGTGGCTCCCTCTCTTTGGAACATCCCCCCCCCCTGAGATTAGAACGGCCCCCACTCTAGCTCTCTTCCGGAAGGCGCTGAAGACCTGGTTCTGCCAGTGGGCCTGGGGAACCCAGAGCAGGATGGAGGCCATTAAATGGCTCATGTGATCGGCTGTCGCTGGCGGGTCAGAGGTGGGGTGGGTGTGATTTTATTATATTAATTTATCTAATTCTTTTATTACTTTTATTGTTTTTTATGTGGTTTTAAATTGTGTAAGCTGTCTTGAGTCGCCATGGGCGGATAGACGGCAATATAAATTTAATAAACAAACAAATAAGTGAATTCACAATTCCTCCCATGACAAAGAAGGCCTGCTATACTTGAAGCCTTTTAGTTTGGAGCAAGGAGATATGACAGAAGGCATCTTAAAAACTATGCACTATTACATATTACAGGTCATCCCTGACTTACAACTATCCATTTAGTGACCATTGAAAGTTACTATGGCACTAAAAAAGTGACATAACCATTTTTCACCTTAAACACCATTGCAGCATCCCCATGGTCAGGTGATCAAAATTCAGACTCTTGGCAACAGACTCGTATTTATGACGGTTGCAGTGTCCCAGGCCTGTGCGATTATCTTTTGCCACCTTCTGACAAGCAAAGTCAATGGGGAATCCAGATTCACTTAACAACTGTGTTCCTAACTTAACAGCTGCAGTGATTCACTTAACAATTGTGGCAAGGAAGGTCTTAAAATAGGGCAAAATTCACTTAAATGTCTCGCTCAGCAATAGAAATTGTGCACTCAATTGTAGTCATAAGTCGAGGACTGCCTGTAGGGATTACGTATAACTTGCTTGGTAAATTCAGGCCACAGATGTTGGTATGTGTTTCTATGCAGGCAGCAGTAAGCATCCCAACATCAGCCAAGAAATAGAACCAAGATAAGTTTTGCATGTTTAAATGCAGTCTGACGGTTTCATAAGGTTTCGTGTTGGCGTGGTCCCTCTGGAAGAGCTGTGGTCATTGTGTTCAGATCAGGTTAACAATTGAAAGGGAGCTTGTAGATCATTTTGTAGATCATTTAATCCAACCCGCCCCCTTACTCCCAAAGCAGGAGACCCTACACCATTTCTGACAGATGGCAGTCCAGTCTCTTAAAAGTCTCCAGTGATGAAGCTTCCACAACTTCTGGAGGCAACTTCTGTTCTATTGGTTAATTGTTTTCACTGTCAGGAAATTTCTCCTTATTTCTAGGTTGAATCTCTCCTTGTTCAGTTTATATCCATTAGTTCTTCTCTGGCCTTCAGATGCTTTGGGAAATAGCTTGATCCCTCCTCTCTGTGGCAGCCCCTCAAATATTGGAAGACTGCTATCATGCCTCCCCTGGTCCTTCTCTTCACTAGACTAGCCATGCCCAGTTCCTGCATCCGTTCATTGTATGTTTTAGCCTCCAGTCCCCTAATCATCTTGGTTGCTCTTCTCCACACACTTTCTAGAGTCTCAACATCTTTTTTTTATAGTGTGGTGACCAAAACTGGGTGCAGTAGTGGTATTAGTATCTCACTTGATCTTGATTGTATCCCTCTGTTAATGCAATTTAGGATTGCATTGGCTTTTTTGGCTGCTGTTGCACACTGTTGGCTCATATGTAATTGATTTGGTGGTCCACTAAGATCCCTCCCATAGTTACTGTTATTACTGTTTCTGTTCCCAAAGTGCTTTTTTTTTGCATGACAGGTAATTCCAGTCTTTTGCAAAACCAAGTCTAGAATTAGTGCTACATTTAGCAGCCTCTGTGAACAATGCCATCGGCAGGACTTCCAAATCGTTTCTTCACAAGAGAATTTGTCTTTAGAGTTCCTTTTTTTCAAGCATTGCTTCTTTGGACCATGATTGAAGGCTGATCCTTCTGCCTTCCTGGGTATGGGTTTTGTTTGTTGGAAGGGGAACTTCCCCCACCCTTGTTTTTCTGAGGATATCAGAGATAATTAAAACAAAAGCAAAAAACAGCCCTACCCAAGAGAGCTATAATCCCAAATGATGTCAGAAATTTACAGGGAATCCTCGGCTTATGGACATAATTGAGATCAGAATTTCCATTGCCAAGCGAGTTGGGGGTTAAGTGGGCTACACCGAATTTTCTTTTTGTTATGGTTGTTAAGAAAACCACTGCTGTTTTTAAGTGAATCATGCAATCGTTAAGCAAGTCTAGCTTCTCCCGTTGACTTTGCTTGTTGGGACAAGTTGGGAAGGTTTGCAAATAGCGATCACATGACCTTGGGACTCTGCAACTCATAAATAACATGCCATTTGCCAAGTATCCAAATTTTGATCATCCGACTGTGGAGATGCTGCAGTGGTCATAAGTGCAAGGACAGGTCATAAGTCACTTTTTCCAGTGCTGTTGTAATTCTGGATGGTCACTAAACGAATGGTTGTAAGTCTAGGACCTCACAGACTAGCCCCATTATCCAACTCAGATCAAGAACAGAGATAACAAGCAATGTAGTTAATTGATATTTTGCTTCTTTTGGAAGATGCTTATAGTGTATGGGGGGGGGAGGAGGGAGTGCACTTAACCTGTTTCTCCCAATTTATTTTTTTGTTTTTTAATTCTCAGGTTCATGTATTGGACGGACTGGGGAGAAATGCCAAAGATAGAACGGGCTGGGATGGATGGTTCAAGCCGTTCAGTTATCATCAATGCAGATATTTATTGGCCAAATGGATTAACCTTGGATTATGAAGAACAGAAGCTGTACTGGGCAGATGCCAAACTGAACTTCATTCACAGATCAAATCTGGACGGGACACATAGGTATGAATTAAGATGTTAAAGGAAACCTGGGTTTTTAATCTTAGACAAATGGAAAAGGCAGCCCTCGACTTGCAATGTGGTAATTGAGCCTTAAATTATAATCTTAAAGCCGGGATGGGCAACCATAACTTCTTTACTGCCTGTGGACTTCAACTCCCAGCATTCCTGAGCCAGCTGGCTCAGGAATTCTGTGAGTTGAACTCCACGGGTAGTAAAGGGGCTGCAGTGGCCCACTCCTGTCTTGTCATGGTTGTCGTTAAACAGGTCACCATATGTCTGTGACCAATTTAATGAACTTTTTGCAGTGGTTATTAAGTGAATCCATTATACCCAATGGGCTTTTTTTTGCCAGATCCCTGAAGTGTAAACACCAGAAACTGGTTTTTAAAAAAACCTCCAAAAATCATGTTCACCTGGCTAGAGGACACTGCAAAAGACCATAAATGCTGGTTGCCAAGCACCCAAAATGTGGTCTTAGGTTGTGGCCTTTGGAACTTCAGAATCGGGTTCTAAATACCTTTTTGGGGCTCCATCGTAGGTTTGAATAGTTGCTAAGCAACAGATTGTTAGGCGAGGACTGTCTGTAATACAAGCCAACCATTGCCCATGATTTCTCTGCTTTTGTTTTATTTTGTTAAATTTCAGATATCTTGATTTAGAAGCATATTGTGTTTTTATCTACAGAAAGGTGAAGAGAGCTAATTTTCTAAGAATTTCCAAAGGAAATTTCTTAAATTTGTTTGATTCAAATAAAATCAAATGAGAATGAAATTATTCTCTCAAGAGTCCTCACTATTAGAATTACTGGCAAGGTGTGTATTCTTATGTTTTTGGAAGGATGGTTTTATTTTGCAAAATATTTCTGTGCACAGATAAATGAGAAGAGAGATGTCATTTTATGCCCATTGATTGGCTTGGATTTTAGTATTGGGATATTCCTGCTTTTGAGAATGGCTTTTAACAAGAAAAGCTGGCATTTAAAAGAAGAATGACTGATTAATGCTTACTTTTAATTTTGTTTGTTTTTGTTTATTTTGCATGCTGTGTGGATTTCTTTCAACTGGGAGTAAATTATGATAGTGAATATTAAGTGTGGGAAAATTATGCAGCTATTCAAAACTACTTGAAATATTTATGAAGTCATTTGTTTAAAGTGCACTGAAATATAGAAACATTTACAAGTATGGCATATCTTTGAATGGTATAATTTTCAGTCATTTAGTAGTCTGAATCTATAGCAGAAAGGAAAAAGAAACGTTTGGCTTAACAAATGGTCCCTATCAATACAGGTAGTCCTCGATTTACAACAGTTCATTTAATGACCGTTCGGAACTACAATGTTATTGAAGAAAGTGACTTATGACCATTTTTCACACTTATGATCACTGTAACATCCCCACGGTCACAAGAATTACATTTGCATGCTTGACAGCTGACTCATATTTATGACGGTCCTGAGTCAAGTGATCCCCTTTTCTGACAAGCAAAGTCAATGGGGAAGCCAGATTCATTTAACAACCATATTACTAATTTAACAACTGCAGTGATTCACTTAACAAATGTGGCAAGAAAAGTCGTAAAGGGGGGCAAAACACACTTAATAAATTTCTCACTTTGGAACATAAATTTTGGGCTCAATTGTGGCCGTAACTTTAGGACTACCTGTATTGTCCCTCCCCTTCCCTGAGTAAGGATTACTCACAATATGGTCTTCTAATTGAATCTGACCACATGTAGAATACACAATAAAACTGTGCACCATTACAAATTGCAGCTAGGGTAGTTTTTTCTCATAGTTATGAAATCCCTGTCTTTGGCTCATCTGTGGTTTTGTTCAGTTGGTTTCTGTTATCTCAAGCGGTCATAAGAAGGAGCCGGTATGCTGGTTAGCGCTCTGTTTTTCGTGACTAATTCTTGCTTCCCCCTTAAGAGCGTTCTCCTTTGAGTAGGAGAAGGAGGGGGGAGGGGCGAGAAGACCCTGAGAAGTAGGCTGGCCTCTTAGCAAAAGCTGTTTTTTTGTGGCTAAGTTCTGAGGGCGGGGCTATGCCAATTGCCCTGCAGAGCCATTTGGAAAGAAGGGGGAGGAGGGGCCCCACGTGGCCCAAGCCGGCAGCCCCCGGCAGCCTGGAAAACACAGAGGGGGGAGGAATAATCAGCCCGGCTGCTAAAGGCTGCAGCTCCCAGGGGGAGACAGAAGAACCTCCAATCAGGTTAGAGATTACCCCCCTCCCCCAAGGCCTTCCAAGGGTGGGGGTGACTAGGCAAAGAGCAAATGCAATGCAATACAATACTATGCAATACAATAGCAGAGGGGGAAGGGACCTTGCAGGTCTTCTAGCCCACCCCCCCTGCCTAGGCAGGAAATCCTATACCATTTCAGACAAATAGCTATCCAACAGCTGCTTAAAAACTTCCACTGTTTGGGAATTCACAACATCTGGAGGCAGGTTGTTCCACTGATTAATTGTTCTAACTGTCAGGAAATTTTTCCTCAGTTCTAAGTTGCTTCTC